TTTACTCAATCTTGCTTTAGCTTCAAATGAATCAGTAAATATCAGCTATAGAGATAAACCTGATAGACTGGATGTCTTTGAAGCTCTACTTGTGTTCGATCTTTTGCTCAGAATGACTAAAGCCCTGACGGAGGCAGACGGTCCGTCATGGAGGGAGAAGCTTCCTCCCATCCCCACGGTGCCGCTGTCGGTGAGGGAGAAGCTGGCCCAGCAGGCTGCAGCCAACCAGGCTCAGCAGCACAACGGCATCAAGAAGGACGACAGACCAGGTGAATGTTTACCCGCAGTTACCTGGCAACCAACGCATCTCATGGCCGCACTGTGGGTTCAGGCCTCACAGAACCCGCCATCTGCAGCTTGTTAAAACCATGGTTAGATCTGCCAGTTACGACTCAAACGTCTGTTTCTCCTTCCCATCAGCACCGAGTGACAAAGATGTAAAGAAAGCTCAGGCTCTGAAAGAGGAAGGCAACGCTCTGGTGAAGAAAGGAGAATATCAGAAGGCCGTAGAGAAGTACACGCAGAGTCTAAAACACAACGGCAGCGAGGTGACGACCTACACCAACCGGTGAGCCTCTGCTTCACATTCAGTTCGGGTTTATGTTTTAACGACAAGACTAAGCAAAGATGCGTCTCCGCTGTGTCTGTGATCAGGGCGCTGTGCTTCCTGTCGCTGAAGCAGTACAGAGACGCCATCAGAGACTGCTCCGACGCCCTCAGGATGGACGGCAGCAACGTCAAGGCGCTCTACAGGAGGGCGCAGGCTCACAAGGAGCTCAAGGTGAGCTCTCCGTCCGTTTCTGACCGTCAGGCTGCGGCTGCATGTCCTCACACATCCAGATGTTTACAGCTGCTGTAGAATATTTAGCAAGTCTTGGAACAACTCTCAAAAGTTAAGTTCTCTAAAGTAGTAATACTCTGAAAAGTATTAGTTTTTTTTCTCGTGATGAAGTAAGATAGACTTTATTGATCTCACAGTGGAGAAATTCACTCGTCACAATCGGTTCAATAGTCAAAAGAAAGTGCCAAGAGGAGGAAAAGGTGCATGGGGTATAAACACTAATTACAGCTCGTCCACATTTTCTATTATTATTTCATATTTTTGGAGCGCCCCTAGAACATTTCTGAATAATAACTCAGATAATCATAAAGCCTCATTAATCCTCGACATTCTAATGATAATAATGATCTAATATTTAATAATAAGTGCTAAATAGTTGAAATGGAGACAGCATTGCGCTGTGACTTTGATAATAGTAACTTTTCTCTCCAGCTGTGCGAACCATTGCAAGCTAGTTGGTTATGACGGC